CGATTGCACTGGTAAGTCTAGTGCGTCGCAAGCTAGGTTCTTGTGCAGCTTTACAAAAATACCTTATTTCGATGGCTACACTTCATCTTGTGCATATTCGCACACCTCCATGCCTAAAAGTCATCACTTAAATGCCGAGTAAATTGAACGAAATGGTTATTTGATTACTTATCACATGAAAGACTTTGGTGCTTCTTTCAGAAAACAAAGCAATAGCATTATGTTAAAAAGGAAATGAAACTAAGTGAATTTGGTGTGCTAGAGGAGAAATTTGCCGAGCAACTTTCTCGCTCTATGACATCACGCCTTTTCATTTCACTGTTATCCCGAATAATAACGATGCTTACTTTGATGCTAAATGAGTAAAATAGGCATTTCGCCAAAAACTACCACTTGTCTGTAATATTTTATCATGATTTAAAGCACAATTTCACACCTGCTGCTCAAGAAACAACAGCATTTAATTTTATCTGTTTACACAAGTATTTGCAAAAAACAGAGCAAGAAAAATTGCTTCGTGAATTAAGTGTACAAGAGAAGAGTTGAAATTTCATTGTGCTGCTGTGCGGTAATTTTTCAACCAGTGTTTCAACCCCGTCTCCCCTTTGTCCCCCTTCCTCTCTACTCCTTTCGCACCTCCCTTACTCTCTTCCACCTGTCCATTACTCAGCCTCACTCGGGCTGCTCGAGAACCAGTAGCACCAACTGCACAGTTAGGCTTGATTTATTGCTTGTACAAGATGAATGGAGCAGGCTTTGGATATGATTCACATCGAATACGATCGCTTTCCTGTGCTACTGCCCTCCTGTTTTCATAGAAATTCCACAGGTTTTGCACCAGATGATAACAAAATCATTTTGCATCAGCTTTTTTCCGTCCACAAATAAAACAGTGGTCCCGAGGGTCGGTCGTGAGCCACTTTGAATTTATCTAATTTTGCAAATAAACTGTTCTTCCTCCTTATATACTTCACTGGCCATCTAATCGCTGCACGGCTCCTTGCACTGAAATTTTCCATCGAATAACGATTTCCAGACCAGGTGACGCGTCCTTTTGAAAAACTAATTTCCGAGTTTCCTACTCCATGCGTCTGCTTCTTTATGTCATCATTGTTATAACTTTTAGTCACAATGCACTTAGGAAAAGAGAAACCTGTCTTCCTTATTCTTCTGTTTCTCGTCTTGTGCCAGCAAATGCCAAAATTGTCAGGAGCTAGTTGAAAATTTGACAAGCCGAAAGAGTCAACAGAGGAAGTTAAGCCAATGGAACGTCCGAGAAAAGATATCCCACTAGACAATAAAAACTACAAGTGCAGGAAGTAGGCTAATCCAAAATTCAACAAAAAGGTGCAAAAGACGTACGAAACGACTGGCTGTCTGGACTGAACGCTCTAGACACATTTGCTGAACGTCAAGTCCGAGCGTTGCAGAGTTGAGCCAACGAACTTCAAAGTTTAGCTGATTTGATTTTTTCGCAACGTTCCAAATTTCTATCGCTAATAAACATACCTTTTTCTATGCAGGGCTGTGTAATTCACTGTTTAATGCGATTTCGCTGAGTATCTTAATGTACAGTTGCTATTAAACCTTATTTTTTATGCATTATGCATGGAGAACCTTCCAGCAGTATCGTTGGCGCAACAACGAACGTCGATGACACACAACTGTTCAAGTATTCAAGCATAAGTGTAGCACACTGTGGCATGGTGCCAATGCGATCCTGCATTTACAAGATTTACCGCAATAGACGTGTGCAGTTTTAGTGCGTGTGTGAAAGGTCCTCACGGTAATGTTGTATTTGTGTGGATAGTATGTGTACACTCGTTAACGTGCCGTGGATCTACGGGAACCAGATTGATGGCGAGTAAAGAATAAAGTTTTATTTACGTAGACATACGTAGATAATTCTTTGTTTTTTGCATCGCTGCAAGGGATTTTTAACATACCGGTTCTCGAAGTTCAGGAATTTGTATAACTACATGGTACTTGGACAGGTTGCCGGTTGCTTGGTTGCCGAATAGAAATACCCTTGAAATCCCCTCCTCCGAACCGAACCCCACCCGTTCCCTTCTCTCGAACCAAACTCCACCCACCCCCGAACCTGACCCCACCCGTCTCCCTTCCCGCGAACCGAACCCCAACCGCCTTCTTTCCCGCGAACCGAACCC